TCAAGAATCATTCATAGTCTCTGGGTGAGGAAGCGTGTTTTAATACGTCCCTTGCAGTGCCTTCATGCACTGTGCCCTTGGCGGTCAATTCCGTTATTTTATCTATGCCTTTATGCTTCGGGTGTGGTTGATTAGTCCACACGGGCCTCTCATTGGCCTGTGATGGATTAATGGATTTAAAAACTTTGGAAATTCTCTTTTAAAAGAATGGATTATTCCAGCAAACACATCGCACCAGAGGTCCTGGATTTTTATCGTCCTAATCATTTAAGTGGAAATCGTTCTTCGAACGCCTCGCATCCCTGTCACCCACACCTTCAACGAGTTGACGAAAATTCACATTTTTCGCACCAAAATCTCGCAGTTATGCATATGAAAAACACTAATGTTCCACACACCCATCCCGGCGTTACTTCTAGTGTGCACCCCGGACATACTTCCAGTAGTGTCACTTACCAGCAAGCACGGCCATTCAGCCAAAATTTACAGCCCACAAGCCGGTCCCAAGCGCACGCTGAAGGCTATAGACATCACCAACAAACAGCTGGGCACCATACCTGCCCTGTGGGTGCAAGTGGCCGAACCCAGAGTGCCAGTACCGTCTCTACGAGTGGCATTAGTAGTGCCGGATCAGGTCATGGATCTTCAAGCAGCAACTGTAAATCTCTACAGAAGTCCGTCTCATCCTCCACAAGTTTGCGGGCTGCCGAGCTGATACCTTTGCTCCGAAAGAAAATTGCTATGCTCCCTGGCGGTAGAACTCGCACTGGTGGACCCATACTTTGCTTTCCCGCCAACACCCATGCAGATGAATTGCCACTTGAAGATCTTTACCTACTTGTGCGCTATCTTACCTATCTTCCAGATGATAATGTCAAGAAATTGGGTTTTACTGTGATTATTGATATGCGGAGTGGTACTACCTGGCATAGCGTAAAGCCGATACTGCGGGTAAGCACTTATCTAATGCATTTTTCTGTGCACATTTATTATCTGAAGACTACGCAAAGCCCTTTTCTTGTTCTTGCCACTTCATCTATTAACACGTATCATTACATCTTGTAGAATGGCCACAATTATTTTGTTTTTTTTTTTCATTCGAAACATTCATCTGGGACACCTTACAATTTCTCCCTCTTGCTTCAATTTTAGTCTCATAAGTATTCTAAGCGTTATCGACTTCTATCGTCCGCCTTTCACAACAAAGACAAGACTGAAAATATTAGACTTAGGGAAGTGCGCCACAGCGTGACTCTGAATCATCGCAAACGCTGAGCTTTCCTTATACCTTCCTAAGTGTTCTGGCCAATGCAGTCCAGTGTTTTCTGTTACTTACTCCGTGGATCGCGTTTCTTATTTTTATTTTTCTGGATTTTTCCAGAGTCTTTTGGAAATTTTAGTCTTTAGTCGGTTTGATTTCTACATTCACTCTACTGGTCCGCTAATGACTTATTTTGCCTATTTTTGTGATAACTAATGTTCACAGACGTGCTGGCTACCTTTCGCAACAACACTTCGCTTCATTAGCGAATAGCAGACTGGTCATTGGCAGATATAGCCGTCAACCCTGCGTGCAAAGTCTGGCTACCAGATGGAAGTATTTTGTGTTGTTTGAAAAACGTCACTTTTTACGAGAATTTAGGTTCTCAAGCAGCTGAACTAGTCAGCCTAGTTCATAAACCTTAGCAGTTATATAAATAATTTAGGCTCGTCAAAGACGCCCGTCATTCTACTTTCAGTGAGCCCAGTCGCTCCTGACTTCGTCTTCAAGTTTTGCAACTTACTGCTTTATTATGCCTCTCGTTCAAGACTTCATTCTTTTAATGATAACCCATCCGAAAGGAGCTTTTAAAGGAGCATATTCGCCTTATGCTCGGTCTCCTCAAGTTTAGTTTGTTGATTTATCTGGCCTGCAACAAAGAAAAGTGCGGTAGCAGTGACACTTTGGAGCAAGTGTGACTTCAGTTTCTTGTTTCTACGCAATTTTTTTTCTGCACCATAAGCAGGAGTAAACTTGCTGCTGTGGAGTATATATAATATTCGGGGTAGGGCAAACGTAATCTTTGCATTTCGGGCAGATTGTAATTTTCATTTTGTTTGACATGCCCTTCATTCAATACACATTCTATTACTTCCAAATTGGTTAGGTAATCGAGGAGTGCATCGGAGGAAACGTAGCTATGGCGTACATCATAAAACCAGACAAATTCTTCGAAAAGCAGAAGGCGCAGATGGCACTTGGAAAATACAGTTTCGAAACCCAATTAGTTTCCGTCGAATCGCTCTTCAATGAAGTTGATCCCAGCCAGCTAACCGCTGACCTTGAGGTATTCAGTGTTTCTGTTTATTTTTATTCAGAAATTTTTGCATCCACTGTTTATCCCTTAGATTAACTCATGTGTTCAGATTTTTTGCCTTACAGCTTATGTTTCAATCGCTCTTTTGAGTCTTGCTTTTATAATGCATCAAGAAAAAATCCGAAGCGGATTAGTTGGACGATGTCCAGAACTCAAATCGCTGATTCAGGCAGGATGACGCTGCTTTGATTCTCACACAAGCATTTGTCACACAGCAAAACGCGGGTGTTCAGTAGTCGGACACTTATAGAGTAGAGTAGTAGTAGTAGTAGTAGTAGTAGTACTAGTAGTCGTAGTAGTAGTAGTAGTAGTAGTAGTAGTAGTAGTAGTAGTAGT